CATGTCTTACAGATATTGCTAAAAATCAGGTAACTCCTATACCACCTATAGGGGGCAATTGTTAGACAGTGGAGTGAGAACACCAAAACAGTGATGTGGCCACAGACTTTCTGTTCCCTTTTAGATCAGGCTTTCCCCCTGCTTAGTGATTTTTCCTGCAGTTCTAGGTTTTTAAGTCAGAGCTTATGCTATTGGACCTTAGGTGGAAAATCTTTATTTTGCAAAGGATAAACAATTGGTCAAAGCAGAAATTTAAAAAATTAAGAAAAACGAACCTAGTCAGTTTTACACTGAGGCCCAAAACTGCAAAACTTAATGCTTTCACATGTAAAAAGCACATAGAAATTCATTTATGAGAGAGTGAGACTGAGCCTTAAGAGTGCCATTCATGCAGAGACTGCAGGATTATGGTAGACAAAGGTGTATAACATACTAGGGATAGTAGGCCATGACAATTCAGTTAACTCAGCTGAATTGGCTTTCCTAGATTATCTTTTTATTTTGGCAAAGAGTAAGTCTCATCCTATCTCTGACTTCATTCTAGGGGAGGGAGGAGAGGAATAGCTGTAGAATAACTACTGCATTCATTTACCCCCAGTTCAAGAGCAGCTCCTGAAACTGACCAAAAACTGAATAAATAGAAGTAGAATAAATATAAGTAGAAGGCTTTACATCCAGAAAGAAAAGAATAAAAAAATAAATAACATTGCTACAGCTTGAAGCCAAGTCTTTTTTGTGTGTACAAATGAAAGATTAGATGGAACAAATACATCTTTTGTTGTAGCACATGCCAGTGTCTAGCCTAGTCCTTTTCCCATTTGCCAAATGAGCACCTTGAAAGCCACTGTGATTGTCTAACCAAAGTTACAAAGCATTTCCCAGCTCTACTATACAGCATTCCTATTCCCTTAGAGCACAAGAATATACAGTCTAAATCTGAAAGAAAATAAATAAATTCTAAAATAAATAAAAGCAAAAAAGGAGCTTCAAGACTAGAATGAAATTTTCAGTGGAAGTTGGAGGACAACTTGCCTTGACAGGAGAAGCCAAACTTGTTCAGCTGACAAAAGGAAGGAGCTTGAGGCAAGCCAGCTGTTAAATCTGTCATCTTGGTTATCATTATAGCAGGTGTCTTCTCTACAGAAACTCAGTATCACACTTTGAAACGCAGTGCAGTACATCCAGTGCAGCTTGTGCATTGCAGCAGGACAGCGCTGTGGGAAGCCCTACAGGCCAGGCAGCTACAGTCTGGTAAGGAGCAGGTCACAGCCAGCAATTCAATTAACCTGCACAACAGGAAGCCTCCTGAAAGGACGTGGTATCTCACTGATGCTGGTGTGCCCATCCCTATAGGTAAGCAACAAACGGCTTCCTCTGCATTTGGATGAACCGTGGATATGTCTGCAAATTTCTGACCACTACATCCGATACACATTCATTACTGAGGTGGTGGTGATGGGAGGAGATTTTGCACTGTAGAAACAGCCCACTTTACAGACTGTTTGCCAATGCCACTCAAACATCATTAGGAGCAGGACACATACCTTGATCCACTCTTAAAAGAGATTCTTTCTGAGATGCTGAACTTGTTCTTAGAGCCTCTAAGAGACTCCTCAGAGAAGAGGAACTAAGGTCAAGTGTACTTCAGAGCTCTGTCTTCACAAAGCAGGTGGCATGCAGAGCACTAACAGTAAGTCTGAAACTCAATTTTTTGTTTTATATAACAAGAGTTATTCCCATCTAAGTGTTCGTTTCAGAGCTCCCTCCCCTCCCACTTAACTCGTCAGGAGTGAGGGAACCCACTATCTTATGTCTTGACCCTATGTAAATGTTGAGTTTATAGTAAGACTTAGCTCTAAAGAATTCCACCCATAGCTTTTAACTGAAGAAATACAGCTGCAGAAAAAAATAAACATCAGTAAGTCAGAAAGATAACTGGATATGGTAGTCATGGGAAAACAGCTGCTGGAGAGATATCTCATAAGGAAAAGGCATGGAGAAGACAACCTCAAACAGCAGCCAAGTTTCATTTATTAAGAAAAGGAAAGAAGCTAGAGCAATTATATTGTTTACCACTCTTCCCATTCCATGTAATTGGGAAAACGGAATATAAAGGGCAACCTCCTGAAGTGATGAACTTAAAACTCTGAGAAAACAAAGGAAGTCCAATTTCTATCTAAATAGCATAACTAAATACAGCCTAGCAGCTGCGGTGCAAACTAAGCTGTTTTTTAGCAAAGGTATTTTGTCAAATGTGTTGCCTGTACAGCTGCATGCTCCTGCAGCTTAGGAGACTGCCAACAGAGGATGTACACATACTCCAGTGGTCTCTGGCATCACTTCACCTAAGTACCAGTCTCCCTGAGCTCTACATCACTACTAACATGAGGTAGTTGGTGACTACCTCTATGATACTTCCCTTTCTGAGCATTGCAGGTATTCCTGCTGTTCCACTTCCATAATAATTTACAGATCCCTTCGTAATTCATCAGAAACCTGTGTTAATGGCAACTAGTCATGCATTTAGGTCCAGAAACAGTGTTAGGAACCACATCTGGAATCTCAGTTATACATGCCATGATGCTCATTACTGCAGGCTCTGATTAAATACTCGATGCTATTCTTAAAGCATCACAAAACATCTTATTTTCTCCCAACAACTATACATACACTAGCTGCTATTTTAGAGTTAGGGACCTTCTACCTGCCCCACGTTCAAACTTCTCCAGTCCCCCACAGTCAGAGGCATTCACAGGTCTCCAGATCCATTTGATATAAACTCCAAATTGCTCTAGAACACAGGGGTTTTGCTTCCTGAACAGGCCAATTCTATAGGGGTCTATACTAGAGCTTCAGGGGCAGTGGTCAAAATAAACACAGTGATTAAGACTTCACCTCTGCCTTTGTGTCTGTATGCAGTCACTGCAATGGTTCTGCACTTCTGCAATAGTTTCACCTATAAGTGCCCAAGGGAGCATATGTAAGCCAGGGCTTTGGGAGCTGCAAGTCCCTGTGGGAGCTTTATAACCTTCAGAGAGACAAATAAGGGGACTTGCAGGCATTGTTCTGCAATTTCTCAGCACATGACTCCAATATCCAGTGTTCAGCAACTTAATCATTCATTCCAAGTACATACCAATTACTTCATGCATGGAAAGAGGAAGCATTAGCTTGACCTGCGCAACACTGGATTTTCCAACAAAATACAGCTGGAAGCTTACAACCTCCCTGAGATGCCTTCATGCAGGTTGCCCAAAAGTCAAGTCTTTGATTTAAATAAAACGGGAAAAGCACTTGTGATGTTGGAATTACATCACAGGATTGGCAGGCTGCTTCAGCCAGTGCAGGGGCAACCAGTTCAAGTGATGGTGCATTGTGCACACCTTATGGGTCTTAATAGGTGGGGCAGGCAGCTTTCACATCCCCCCCCATCAACTGACCATCAGACCTGCCAGCAATTAAAATGGAAGCAGATAGCTAAATTTTTAAGTGCCAACACCATGTGTCACAGCATTTTTTGTTTTGCTTTTGGTTGGTTGTTTTTAAACTCTTAGTGTCTTCCAAGCTTCCTATTACAATGTTAACAGCAGGTGGGAGTCATCTGCAACCAGGCTGCCTTCTGGCAGCCTTTTTTGGAGCCTGGCAGAAAATAAAGCTCTCAGTTCACCCTTTCCCACCCTCCCTTTACAAATACAACCACTGACAAAATCAGAATAAGAGTACTTGCAGAAGTTAATGAAACTGTCAGATAAACATAGCGATAGAAATGCACAGCTTTGCATCCCTCCCCATATACCAATGCCATGCCAGAACCATTACTTGTCAAAGTAAGGGCAAACAAAGCTGCAAAATTATTCACCCTCAAGATTGCTGCCCACTTAGAGAAAGTCCCAGTTGGGTAGCAAAAGCCATTGACACATCACCAGACAAATACCACACCATCTGGCAGGGGCACGAAGGGAATATGCAGTCTTAGGTACTCGTAAGGGCACAGAACACAATCCTCACACCCTGCCCTTGTTTTTGTACAGTTTACAGAAGAGATCTGTGAACGATCAGCAGTACTTTCTTTCTCTGGGGGAGAGCGAGGGTTCCTTTTTTTTTTTTTTCCCAAGACAAGCCTCATGCCAGAAAAACCAGCTCTTCTCCAACTCTGGGATTTTGGGATATGCTGGGAGACAACAGCTAAGCTCACTTCTTCTCTCTCTTCAACCCTCATTACTACTATCTTGTGTAGCTAATTTTTCCTCTTCTCTTTCACATCTCAGCCAGCTAAACCTTGTTGAGCAAGTCTTCAGAGGGTTCAGCTGCCAGAAGTACAAGGTGCTGTCATTAGTTTGCGGTTTTTTTCTTATTTTATTTTTCAATAAAGGAAGTAACATTTAAAATATGAAAGTCTTCAATACAGACCAGGGAGAAAGAACAAAATTTCAAGTCTCCTTGTACCTTCCCACAAAAACCTGAGGTGGGACCACATTTCCTGCCTCGTTTGTGAATGACTGATTGATAATATTTCTGCCAATATTGGTCTCATCTCTTAGGGAAAAACTGAGGACCAAATGTCAGGCTGAACTGGGGAATTTACTCTAGAAACAAGTACAGTTCTACTGCTTTTGTACTGGCCAAGCCACTGCTGAGAAAAGCACACTGATAGGACACCAAAGGTACACTGGGATCCAAACGACTGAGAATCTGGCTCCAAGTTACACAGCCTTACCCTTTCTCCCAATGCCTGTCAAGAGACAGGAGTCAGTCCTACGAGTTCTACCTAACAAAACATGGCTGGGGCCAGAGGAAGGAAGGAGCAATAACTTCAGTCTGGCACAGGTGGATGCTACAGGTTGGCTATGGACCCCTGGCTGAATGGGAGTGCACAGAGAAAGAGTAGGGCAAATGACGAGTATCAGCTCTTCCATCTGAGGTCTCTGCTGCCTCTCACATACCTTCCATTTTCATCTCTCTTTTGGGACCTCCAGAGTTAGCCTTCTGGGCTTGTCATGCCTTACAGGGTGATTTTTTTCCAATGGATATTCACTGGGAGGATCCTAAATATTTTTCCTACAACTGCCAAACTAGGTACAATTCTGAGACTGCTATAGAAAGGAATGGAGTCTTCCCCAAGGCCTCTAGCCTTTTGCTGCCATTCTAGAGCTGCTGTGGGTGGCTCTGTAGAACCCCTGGCTCCCTTCCTGGCAATCCCATTCCCTGGTCCATTAGTCACAGCAAGCAGTTTCTTGTAGAAACTGTTATACCACACAAACCCTTCTGTCAGCAAGGCAGCCTTTACACATTATTAAGTAAAAGACATTTCTAAGCAGTTAGCAGATCCAACATTCTAAAAGGCAACAAAACAACTAGCCCTGAAACGACCATACTTCATAAACTACCACTGAGAAATTAAAAGAACTATTGTTTTGGTGTAAAAGAATATTGGTGTATACATCCCATGCTCCTTGGTAGCAATTAACGAACTAGAAGTGGATAGCACTGCCCTTCTCTTTTCCAGCTCCTTGAAGATCTCACACAGGGACAAATAAACATGAGAGTTATGTTGGTTCCCGCAGCACAAAAACACCTGCTAAACAAAGCAGTGGAACAAGGATCCCTTTAAGAGATGGTAATGCCTGAATACAACTGGAAGCCCACTGGGAAGACAGCTCAGGGTCGCAGAGATCCAGAAAACACCAATGCAAAAAGCACTCCAACTCTCCCATCCCTGCTTTTAGTGAGGGTGTGAGGGGAGGAAGAGACTTTTAGGGCATGATAAGGAAGAGTTTTCTTGCAAGCAGGTTCTGCAATCCAGAGTGTCAACTGCTGTATTCAGAACAGCCTTTCTTTAGGGAAAGGGAACCAACACTAACTCTCTCTCAGGCTGGAAATCTCCAAGCCAAAGCTAGCCAGCAGGCAGAGATGATCAGATGAACAAAAAGGATTTGGTAAGCCATTTGCCATCAACAGGACATCTTCAGAGAGCAGGGAAAGGCGGCCAAGCAGCTTCAGGGCTCCATCCTTGTATAGCCTGCGACCTGACAAAGAAAATGGAAGGAAACATCAGCCAGAGACTCATGCTGTAGATTAACTCTATACACTCCCAGAGGGATGCTTGTCAATTCATTCCTATTCTTTCCCCGATGAATGAAGACAGCCTGCACAAACACTGCATGCACCTTTGAGCCTAGATGTGAAAGCAGTGAGCATCCTACAATAATAGCTGTTCATGGTTTCATATATTTGCAGGCATAGGAAGCAAGAATATACTAAATTCACCAGGTAGTTGCTTACAGGAGAAGTTCCTTACTGTGTCCTAGCAATAGCTTCAGATGCCCAAGGAGGAATTCATCTCTTCATTCCTAGCCTGTTCCCCAAACTCGATTCTGACATGACCCAAACCAGCTCAGAGACAGTTCTTGGATGCATTTACATGCAGGCTTTCATCAACGTAACTCCTGTTTCAGGTAGCAGAGAAGAGGTGCCATTGTAAGGTAACCAGAGTCACCACCTTCCAAGGCCAGTGTGTGGTCTCAGACAGACCAGAAGTCCAAGTCTTGAACTTAGGAGCCAGCACTGCCTGTTATCAGGAGCACAAGTGAGATACTTACACAGAAGAAAAGAACCCATTCTGTTTGAGCTTCCTCCAAAGTCTACATGAACCTAAGCAGCTTTGTTTTTTTCACAGCAAAGATAAACATTGTCTTCTCAAGATACACAAGCAAATATTGCTTCCACCTTGTGCATCATTTCAGTCAAAGACACTCTGTAGATCTACCCCAGCTTAATGAAATGCACTGGCCTGTCACAGGGATAAGCCCTGCACTGCCACACTCACCTGCCCTGTTTTCCACAGGCTCTGCTGAGTAGAAAATGTAATCAACAGTGGCTCCAAGCCCCATGGGCATTGTTGTGACCTCTGGGCGTCCCCTCTGTGGCAGGAAGTGGCTGTAGACAGAGGTCAGGTTGAGGCCATGCTGGATAACACCTGAACACCTGCACACAAACAGACCATTTACCAAGGAAGGAAAGACAATTATGCCTTTTTGGTACTGCAGTCACAGCTGAATGTTCCCTTGCTGATGCAACTGTCCAAACTATTTCTACTTTTTGAACACATAGAAGAAAGTATTTCAGAACTATTCACTTCACTTACAGCAAAGCAAGGCAGACTATGAACTTCCTTTGTCTTCAACACCCAGTCCTGTCTATGCCCTTCATTCTCGACCTCACCAACACAATGCTGACAGAGCAGCACCCAGCTGTTGGGACATGGGACATCCTGGAAGGATCTAGCTCTTCCAGATAGCCCTCCTTACTTTCTTCCACTCTCACATTTATTTCAGTCTTTACTTCAGCCAGATTTTCAGTACTCAGGAAAACAAGACCGAGTTTGAAGAGAGGGGCCATTGAAGGTGCACCAAATTACCTTGGGATGAATGGCTGGGGATCAGGGTCTTTCACCATGGCAGCAGGCTTGGGCCAGTGTGCAGGGCGGTCTGCAAAGGAATAAAGAGATTCCAGCCAGACCTACACAGATCCCAGAAAAAGCTCCCCATCCCAAGTCTGAGAAGCTTCTCCTGAGACCAAATGAATCTTTTTGCCCAAGAAGAGCAGATAGCTACCAGTCACAACCATCTTAAAGAAAAATATCCAGAGGAAACACCAGCTCTAAGACTAAAAGAAAGGTCCTTAGAGCAGATCAGTGCAAATAACAGAGAAGTCATATTCTGTCCTAAGGACACGTTCTTAAAGCATTTAATATTATTGAAGCTCAGGGTACTTTGACCTTTGCTCTCAAAGAAAGTTTGCTTGTCTTAGCCTACAGCTTACTCAAACAGTGTCTAGAAAGGCTGAACAGAAAATGGAGAATGCAGAACCAGCCATGCCACAAGGCCCATAGGTGAGGCAGTGTTTACTGGGTACCAACATCCAGAGACATCTATGTTGTGCCCATTGTGTGACATTAATCTTCAGGTTTGTTCTCCACCACCAAAAATCTTGAAGCAGAAAAAGTGAAATATGTATACATATGTGTGTTTCACTTCATAAGAAACAGCCTCAAAAAGAGGCTGAGTCTCAGTGCATCTCAAGGAACGCAGTCAGTGTGTATAAGGGAGGTAAGATTGTACTCCTCTGAGCTCTCATTCAATCTAATCACACAGTCACAGAAGGTACCCTTCTGCCTTCCCCTTTCCTCACCAGGCATTACCTCCACCTCACGTTTTCCTTGGCATTATAGAATCATATAACTGGGTTAGAAGAGACCTTAAAGAATGTCTAGTTCCATCCCCCCATCCCACAGGCAAGGATGCCAACCACTATATCAGGTTGCCCAAGGCCCCATCTAACATGGCCTTGAACACTTTCCACAACTTCTCTGGGCAACCTGCTGTAGCGCCTTACTACCCTCTTAGAATTTTAAGAAGTTTAAAACAATTTCCCCTTGTCCTATCACTATATGGCTGTGTAAATAGTCACTCTCCCTCTTTTTTAATAAGCTCCCTTTAAGTACTGAAAGGTAACAATAAGGCCTCAGTTGAGTCTTCTCCAGCCTGAACAACCCCTACTCTCTCAGTTTCTCCTCACAGGAGAGGTGCTCCATTGAGCTAGGAGAGTCACAAGCTGAAAAGTCTCTCATTAATACCTGGTTTAACATCTGTCACACCTTCCAAGAGCACCAGGTGCGGGGGTCGTTCACAGGCAACATCACAAAAACGAAACTGTAGCAGGAAGTCACGGCTGTATTCACGTCTCCCTGCAGAGAAAAGTACAAGTTAAAAAAAATAACTGCAGCAAAGTCACATCTACCAGGAACACCTATATACATTTCAGACCTTTGGGCCTCTTAGACCTCTTTTGTTTGAGAGAGGCTTTTGTGCCCAAATATTTTAATACCATGAGAATAAAAATCACTCAATAAGTTAAATGCAGAACAGAACAGATGTGTAAATGTAGAAGAACAGAGCACAGATATTGCTATCCCTTTAGCTAATGCAACAGTCAAAGTCAGCACAAATTAAGAATGTCCCCTCTGAAACACCACAAGTTCAAGGGACTTTCAAGCAGATCAGTCAGTGTGCAAGTCAAGGAAATGTCTGTCAAAAAAGAAAAAACTATTCTGGAGATCAGATTGACTATAAGTTCTACATGCAAGATTTTAACAAAAGCTATTTTGTGGGGACTCCTCTTTTTAATCCGCTCTAAGGATGGTAGAGAACAGACATGATAGAGAACATGAAAATTAGGCTCTTAGGAATGATTTCTTAACAGTGCAGATGAAAGCCGTGGTTGCTGAACACAGTTTACAACTGCACAAAAGCATAAGTCTGGGAATAGGAAAGAGATACTGGTTACTGGTATGGGAACATCCAGCTCCTGACTAGAGAAAGAAAGTGGCAGAAATGGGGCTACAGCAATAGATTCTGGAAAAATTATATTTAATTCATATACCAAGGAAATGGATAGAAGAAGAGAATCTTTGCTGAGTGCCTCATGCAACACATGCCCAAGCTATTCAGAGAGACAGCAAGGCCCACAAACCGCCCATCCTCACAAACTCATGTTCTCAGTGCATACTGGAGCTTACCCGGTTTCTTTGGCTGGCACTGGGTGACATACTGGCAGTTGTCTGTCACACCCAGTGAGCTTGGCCACAGCGGGGCCAGCAGTTTACGTGAATACAACTGTTGGGAAAAGTCTTCCTGACCAGACACCTGCAAAGAGGCCAGAAAAGGAGAGGAACCATCAGCAACACAGGGCAGAACTTTTGCAAGCTATAGTCAATGTATGTATATACACCTGCAAAGGGTAAGACAGGAGAATGCCCTCATAGAAAGGCACAAACTAAGCTATTCAGAATATGGTGCAGCAATAATAAACCTTCAGCTGTGGGGGGAGGATACAATTAACTAAAAGTCATCTGACGATACTTCGCAAGCATCTTGTTGAACTGATGATTTAGCTTGAAAGCCAATGATGTATTTGATCCCAGACACCGTAAGAGGCAATCGCAAGAGACTTTAGCACAGGTGCCCATTTCAAACTGTTTTCAGCAAACATCCACATAAAATTTCAGTAAGTCTTGGTGGAGTTGCACTCCAGTCACTCAGGCACAAAAATTCCATAGCAAAGGAAAACAAAGACTTGAAATTAAGTGGTCTATTATCATAGGTCTGCCTCAAGAGAAACCAAAAGAGCAGTGGTGGAAACAACAGGGACACACTCATCCACTTCTTTCCCCTGCAGTGCTGGAGATATTAGGGAAGACTGCTGAGTAACTGAATTCAGAATTCAGATTATTTCCTCACAAGAGAAAGAATGTAGCCATGCATTTTTCTGGCAACATGCAATAAAGAGCTACCCAATCCCACTTCTGGTTGGCAACTACCTTCCAGGCTGGCATTCCATGGTAGGAAAGTTCACCATTCCGGATGAATTTGTAGAGTGGAGAATCAGGTACGGAGTTCAGGTCTCCACACAAGATGACAGGATAGTAGCTGCCTTCAGTAGTTCTTGCAATTTTGTCAATCTCTGCTAGGAGCAAGGCCACCTGGGCTAGTTTGATATCTCCTCGGCGTGGATTGAACAACACATGAGTGTTGGCCACACACAAAGGACTGATGGCCTTCAGATCTAGGCCCTCTGGGAGCACAGGCTGTAGCAGCAGCACCAAGCCCACATTATCCCGATTGAGGATGTCCAGGCCAGGACGGAAATATTCTACAGGGCTGAGGCTGATCAGCTGAAACCTGCTGTGCTTATAGCACACTGCACATCCATCTGTCTTCGTCCCAGTTCTCCGTTTGTAGAAGCATGCAAAGCCTGAAAAGAAACCATCACCTATTAAAAGGTTTATCCAGTCACTACCTCAGACTCCCCCTATAAGCTGGGAGTTCAGCAAGACTGTGTAGAAAAGGTTCCTACTACATTTGGGTATAGTATTATATCCAATTCTGTTCCAATAATCAGCATTTATTATTAATCACAGGGGGTATTTTCTCTCTCTTTGTCCTTCTAGGACCCTCTCAGTTTTGTTACTCTGATCTTTCAACCCTGAGAAACATCAATTACAAAAGAAAGCTTAAAGATCTAGGCGGACAGTTCAGAAGTAGGGTCAGCAGCCACCTGGCAAACAGGAAGAGGTCTCTTGAAACTGAGTGCTTTGAAGACAGTAAGCAAGAAGAACTTCTTGGCCAGTCCCACGAGCTAGATGTACAAACCAACAAAAGCAGGACATACCCATCTCCTTGAATGTTGGTTCCAGTTGCTCCCAGTAATGGTTCTCTTGTACCTCCTGGAGACAAAGAACCTGGAAGGAAGGCAGAGACCTCACTCACTCCACAAGTATTTGCTAGTTACCTTGTTCTGGGGAAGGAAGAAAATGGAAAAGTACACTCACATACCAACCCTGCAACCAGAAATGTCATCATCGCAACTCTGTCCTGTACTTTCCAGATGAAGAGCAATAACTTTCTGGGCCACATTAGCTTATCATTCAGTTTTCCAGTGATGAGGCAAAAGATCCTTCATCCCACAAAGAGGACTCAAAGAAGAGAGAAATTCATGAAGTCCTCTTCTATGCAGGCTTCCCCTCCTGTGCTGCCTTAGAAACCTGGTCCTTCTTCCTCTATTTCTGCTGTTTACAGAAGTTAAGCCCTGCCATCAAAGTATGACTAGTTTCCACAATCAAAGCAAGATAGACACCAAAAAAAAGGTCTGTGCAAGTCCTCAAACACTCTCAGAGCAATCAGTGTTCAGTTACCAAGCAGGTAGTATCTTCCTAGGACCTCCCCCCATCTCTTTCTTTAATACTGCTAGATCAAACAAGGAATTCAAATTCTGGTGACACTGACGTAGGAAGGGCTCAGTCATACTCACATCAGGATTCCAGTGCTGGATCTCTTGCAAAAGGTTTGGAAGGCGGTAGTTCCAGTTCAGGATATCTGGATGACAGTGTACATAGAGATCAAGGCCCTGTTCCACCAGGTCCTGGGCAAGGATGTTGTAAGACATGACTCGAAATTCAAAGAGAGGAGTGTTTTTTGAGACCTGTCCTAGGACACAGGGCTGGACAGAAAGATCCTCCCAGTCTCTCCATAAAATCTCTACATGCAAGAGACAAAAAGCAAAGTTACTGACACGCTGGGCACCTTTCTGATACTTTTGTTCCCCTGGGACCCAGAAAACAGCCATTCTCATTCCCTAAGCTAGGGTATTAGCCCCTGAGCAAACCCTTACCCACTCTGGTTTTCAGGTGCTCTTTCTGGATGCCTTTGAAAATAGTTGTCAATGGGGATGGCATAAGACATGACCAGAGTCAAGTACACTGAAACACTCAACCAACCTTTCAGTGCATTTTAGATTATAAAGCCAGCACTTGGGAACAGTTCTTGGGAAGGGAACATATAGTGATATTCATACCAGACAGTCTAACAGCACAGAGACCAGTAGCTGTGAGCCCCTCCTCAGCAAACACTCACTTTACAGTTTTCACGAGCAAATCCTGTCAATTCTGCTGGGAAGATCAGTGTCTTGCTGACAGCAAGTCCAGACACAATAACCTGACCACATTCACTACAAATGCCAATCCCAAACTGAACATTAGATTCAGAGCCATTACTGACCATGGTAGGGCACCTCTGTCAGGACAGGACAAAATGGTACTGCATCCTGAATGGGCTGGGCTGGGAGCTCTGCTGGCACAGTCTCTGCATCACACGCTAAACTCCAGGCCAGCACAGCTGGGTCATCATTCAGCACTTCTGCGTTGATACCAGCACAGCCAGCTATCTGCTGATCTGTCTGTGGCACCACAGCTGCCCAAGGGGCACTGTCTGCTACAGTCACTGTTTCCTCTGCTGATAATCTTGCCTGTTCAGCCACTGCATGATCTTGCAGTTCTGAAGAAGCCAAGGCTGCTTCTGAGAGCTGCTGATCAGCACACGGTGTGGCTTCTGGAGACGAATTCAGTTCTCTGAGGCTAGTCATCAATAGCTCTGAACCTTCTAACCAGCCACTAGTGATTGTAACTGATACTTTCCCCACTGCTGGAACACTCTCACTGGCTGGCAAATTCCCTGCTCCTTCCTCCAACCACTGCTGGAGAAGGGCTTCTTGCTCTTCTGAGACCAATCTTCCTCTGGACGCAGCAAAGACGCCTTCTATCTGGGTGGACGGGCTCTTCGCCAGAAGCACATTCTTTCGACAGGTAAAGAAACCATCTGTCATTTAAAAACAAAATCAATATAAGACAGCCAGAAATCCTTTCCAACTCACTCTTTTCTTTTTCCAATGCATTTGCTGTAACTCTGTGCAATACAACCATTCAGTATATCAACCCAAACAAATTACTTCTCTGAAGAAAAATAGTTTCAATCTGAAAAACTTCCCCTGCCTGCTCTGGAATGCTAAGCCACAGTCCAAATCTCGTTATGTTCGTCAGCCAGTGAAACTGCATATGATAGTAATGGCTTTACCAAATCCAGGGAATGCAATTCTAACTTATGCAGCACCACAGACAGTCATCCAAGCTAAAGGGCTTTGTAGAAACTATCAGCTCTCAGCAGCACCTATAAAGGCACAATCTGTTGAAGTTAGCTGAAGTTAGCTGATCAGGTGTGTGGGCTAAGAAGCCAAGGTCTTGTAGATCATAACTTGGAGCAAGTTTCTTTCCAGGGATTGAGTAAGAAATAGCAGTCAGCTAAGAGAATGAAATATTCTCTCCTATGAGGAGAGGCTGAGGGAGCTGGGGTTGTTTAGCCTGGAGAAGAAGAGGCTCAGGGGAGACCTCATCACTCCCAACAACTACCTGAAAGGAGATTGTAGCCAGGTGGGCGCCAGTTCTTCTCCCAGCAGTAGGACAAGAGGGCACAATCTTAAGATCTGCCAGGGGAGGTTCAGGTTGGATATTAGGAAGAAATTTTTTACAGACAGACTAATCAGACATTGGAATGGGCTGCCCAGGGAGGTGATGGATTCACTGTCCCTGAAGGTTTTTAAGATGAGACTGGATATGGCACTCAGTGCCATGGTCTAGTAACCACAGCGGTAGTGGATCAAGGGTTGGACTTGATGATCTCGGAGGTCTTTCCCAACCCTGTTGATTCTGTGATTCTATGATATCAGAAGAACAGGAGAATGTGTTGTAGAAGAAAAACTGTTCTGTTATTAAGAGATGAAAAATGAAAACACAGAGGGACCAACATGTGCCTTATTAGAGAGAATATACGCACAGAGGAAGTCCTGATAAGAATTACAGATCACCTGATGACTGACACATGAAGCAAAAAAATAAAAACATTTTAAACTGCTTTTAATGTAACAACTGAACATACTAATATTCATGGAGTAAAGCAGAAAAAGACAGACTCTTTTCACTTATATCTATATAAGAGTTGTCATTTACATTTTGCTATGAATTCTGCACAGACAGTAGTCCCTACTGTTGACTAGCAATTTCTGTTGACTACAAATCACTTTTTTCTCTGTATCCCTGTGACAGTCAGTCAGCCAGAGCAGTAACATACTGTCAGCAACATCTGTGTATGCTTTCACTATATCTTTTGTGTCAAAGTTTTCTGTATGTGTCAGAAATGGAGCTTTAAGAACCATATGCCTCTCTGAAGTATTGTAATTAAATTCATGAATGTCAGAAACACCAATGCACCAAGGTAATGCTTCCATGCACCACTAGCCAGGCACGGTTGTTACTAGAGCCTGTTACTACACCACAGAAGCTGAATTTGAGAGGAGTCAGCTAGCTGCTCACTATGACCAAAAACAGCGTGCCCGTCATTGCTACAGGCCCAGAGACAGGTTCAGGAGAGAGGGTGGCTTTACATCAGTAACCAGGGACTGTGAAGCAGCAGCAGGATCTAGGAAACTATGTGAAATAGCAATGCACGCAAAGCAAGAGTTACCCGCAGATCCCTGGGGAGTCCCAGATCTCTGAGCAGTCCATCTCTAAAGATGTTCCCAAGCCTGCAGCGCAGGCCCGGGGCAGGAGTTGGAGCCCCCGCACAGTCCGCAATCTGCCTCTGCAGTACAACAGCGGGCAGCTGTTCCCTGCGAACACCCAGTTCCTCGCGGTGCCCCGGGGCCAGCAGCTCCGGCCGGGCACAGCTGCCCCAGCCCGCCTGCTCAGGCGGGGCTCGGGGAGCTCCGGGAACCGCCGGGCCGCACCCGTCCTCCCCTCCCCCTTCTCCGCCGGCCGCCGCCCGCGGCTGGGTTCCTTGCAGGGCCCGGAGGAGCCTCGCCGCGGCGTAGCACATAGAGAGCACAGGTGCCGATCATACGCCCGGCACGGCAAGGCCTCACCGCCCTCGGCCCGGCCCGGCGCCGCACGCCCCCGCCTCAGCTAACACCTTCGGCGCGGGCTCCGCGGAACGGCTCGCCCGAGCACTCACCGCGTCGACCGCGGGCTGGCGGGCGCCTCGGGCCTGGCGCTCCTCCAGCGCCTTCTAGGACCGCCCGCTCCGGGAGACCGCAGCGCCGGGGTGGGACGGCCGCGGAGCGACTCCGCCGGGGGGGGCCCCGCCCCGCCCGCTGTGAGACGGGAGCGCGGCCGGGGCCCCAGGCGCTGGCCGCTGTGCCGTACCCGAGGGGTCCCGACCTGTGACCCTGGGCTGAGTGACGGCAGTCTTCTGGCCTCGCCACCCTGAAATTTGTGATTTCAAACAAAATTTTTCACCCCCAGTTCTCCAGAATTTCAAACAGGACAATTTCCCTCGGCAAAGCCACCATTTGCTCCAGATGAGTTAATAATTACACCGACTTTTCAAACACTGATGCAGTGGGTGAGATGGCAGAGTGGGAGCGTGCCCTCCCTCAAGTGCTGCTGACAGGTCACCACAGGTCTGCAAAATCACTCCTCTCCTGGAGGTGAGCATTCTGGCCTCTGCAAGTTGAGATCCATCACATGTTGCAACCAGACAGTTGCATATGAAAAGCAAAGTCCTCATTGAAGTCCAGGACTTTCATGTTTACTTCATGCCACAATTAAATGTTTTCAAAATCTAAAGGCAAACAGATCAAGCTGAGCACACTACAGCTTTTTACATGAAATACACCTTTCTAATGTGCAATCTCAGTATTCTTCCAAACTCTTCAAGATGGGCACCTGCAATGAAGTCCAGATTCATGTCATCCCTGCCTTTTGCATTGATGATAGCTGCCAAACTGTTCCCTTGATGGTGACCAGCTGCTGTGTCACAGCACAGTCAGGCCAGGGCGTCAATGTTAGACAAAACACTTGGTGATTAGCACAATGAGTGTCCACAGCTAGGACCTGAGATGATGTTATAACATATATAAATAATAATCCTACCAGTCTCCTTTTCAAATCCTCAGTTATAAAATACCACAGACCATAAATGCAGTGACTTGTCTCAAATCCCACAAATGTCTCTGGCAAAGCACAGAACTGGACTGTGGTCTCCCATCTGTTGCAGTAACCAAACCATCATTGGTTTTCATTTCTAGTCAGAAAACAGAGGGTGTTCTCCAGAGGAAGTATCTGCAACATTAGGGGCTGATGACTGGGTCATTGAAAACTAGGCTGTTCTTTAAAAGCAAAGATCTAAGAAACCCACATCAGAATAATCAGACTGAAATCAGAGAAGAATGTTAGCTGGTGCTATAAACAAGCAAGCAACTGTGGCCAAACAGCCATAGTTGTTTGTCCTACACTAGAAAAAATATTTACAAACTTTGGCAATAAAATCAAAGCTGACAATGGTCATCTGCTTCAGGGTCAAACCTTCCACTGGGTTTTGTGGCATTTTGTTCTATATCAAAATATAACTCTACCACAGTTTCTAATGATTGGACTACTTGAGAGGTCTATGTAGAACCTAAGAGAATAAAGCCACTAAAATTATCTTTTTGGGGGGGAAACAGACTTTTTCTTCTTCTCTGTTTTACATATTACACTGTGTAGGCTACATAAATTTCAACCTCTGTACCAGAGGTTATGTTCACTGAGCATTGCCCATAATGGAAATATTTCTCAGTGTATGAATTAGTTCTGCCCAACCTTTATCAGAAAGCCTCTTCTGTTACAGTTTTGGTTTTAGCCCCTTAGGAAAAGTTACAAAGTCCTCAGTATAAAAGATGTAAAATAATAAGCATTGAACCAATTTTGGCACCAGCAATAGTTGGTGGGACGAATGAGCACTTGATTCAAGGCCCCAATAAGTGCTGATATGTTTACAAACCACACTTTATTAGTTAACTTACTGGGAATTTGGCAGTAGGGAAGTCTGAATCTGTTCAAGACTAAAAAAGTGAATACATTTCTATCCTCATCTCCTTTAAGACTGTAACTGCCACAGTCTGATTTTCCCATGAAATTGTACACACTGGAATATGAACTTAAAGGAGACAAGAACTCTTATCAGCACCGTGGCACAACTCTTTGATACATCTGTGGGGGTTTCCACAGCCAAAACCACAGCTGTTCTCAGTTATTGGGAGCTGACTGGATCCCAGAGCGATGGGGTTTCCAACACTGAATGTCACCCTTAGGAGTCAGAAGGTGCAAGTGGAACAGAAGAGTGGTGGTGGCAGGACAGGGCAATCACAGGCTCTGCAGAGCTTTCTCATAACTCCAGGACAGCCCATGCAAGCCAGGAATGGGATTCTCCTATTTAAAAGCAGTAGAAATCAAGAATATAGATCTTACAAGTGGTATCATTCCTCCTGGAGAGGTTTTAATTGAAGCCAAGCAGCTGTGCTTTTTGTGTGTAGGTGTGAGAAACTTACAGGGTCTAGGAAGTCGCTGTGAACTTCTCATTTACGGAAGAGAAAAAGCAAATGAACCTGCACACCTGCACACCTCTGTGTCACCTGGTGACACAGAGAATGAGTCTAAGAAGGATGCAGTCGCTGTGTTTACTTACTGACAAACTCACTTCAGAAATTGTCAGAAATGGCCAAAGAAAAATCACCAGCACCCAAGACAGACTGTTGTTGCAGCAGGTTGATCACCAGGTGGGAAGGCTTCTCTTCTCTAGGCCAGGCAGCAATGAGGAGAACGGTAGTGATCAGGGATCCAGGGTACCAGTGCCCAGAGATGGGAGCTGCCATCTGGGAACAGTTTGGAAAAAAGCAAAATTAATCATAAGAGGGCTTGCCAGTACCAGCTTCCAAGACACTCCACCCAGCTGCCCCTAATGCCCACAACAGATGTCAGAGCTCAGCATCTTGTGAGACCAGATCCTGTTTGAGCTCTCTATCGTCCAGAAGGACAGGCAGGGCGTGAGGGGCAGGAGAGTTTTCTGAACCTGCTGCTCTCAGGCTGTGCTTGTACACAGTTGAGTCAGGCCCCAGGACTGCTCACAGCACTTTGGCCTGAATTCCTAGGTGAGCATAACAATCCTCTTAAAATTAAAAAACTCCTTTGGTCTGTCAGTCATTACAAGTTAATTTCTTGTTTTCCTTTGTTGTTATATATATAATTACTTGTAAAATAATGCAATTATTGTAAGGTAGGGACATATGTGGGACAACTTCTCTCTTTGGCTCGTTTTTCTTTATTTAAATAGAGTATGAAGTGCAGAGATCACTTCTGAATCTACTTCAGAAGACTCAGTCCACAGACTGGGACTGGCTAACGTACTGAGCATATGACTTGTCTCATGAGTTCTTTCATGGGATTTAGACCTATTTTTACCCTTTCTTTTGTCTTTTTCACACTAAAATAATGCAAGTAAACCCATCATTTGAAAAATAAAGTCTGGCAGAAGGAAAAGGTCTTAATAAAGAAGCTGCAGCTGCAGGGCTGGTTGAAATGTGGTGATGTGGATGCCAGCTGGCCGGTATTCCCCTCACATAGGTCTGAATGAACAGCCAAACTGCAAGCTCCACATCATACATCAATACTAGGTGACACCCAGGAAGGGTACAAAATTTCAGGTCAACAGCCTGGAGCTCTAAATGGAAATAGACAGTAAGGAAAGAAGGCAGTAAAAGCACTGACAAGGAATGAAAAGGAAGATTTAGAGAAGAAAAAAAAATATGTATTACGCTATTAGCCAGAAATTATTTTGGCAAAATCACACTTCATTATTTTTTATGCATTTATTCCTCTTAAAAAGGATTTTTTTCAAATTCTCCTTCTCTCTAACTGTGAAATAAATTATGAATTGTGGGCAAGAGAAGCTGTATCACTCCCAGTGATTCTAGTTACATTCAGTCCCAATGGACAGTACCATTCAAATGCTTTCTCTTCTGCCATTCAGGAAGAATACTGCAAAGCATTCCCAGACTGATCAGAAAGTCAGCCAACAGTGCCTGGGAAGTGTGAGTCACTTCAAGAGCGGCAGGAGAAGCTGGCATGGGTTTGGCTTGTACACTTGTGGAGAAATGGGATGAAGATGAAAAATTTGCTTTGGCTGGTGGGCTCAGAAATTGAGAAAGGGGAGAAAGGCAGCTTGTGAGGGAACAAAGACCTAATGTGGGAGAACTGTGAGTTCCTTGCACATGGGCTGAAGAATTTGAGAAGACCTTTTTCAAACACTTCCAAGCACTAGAGTGAGCCTATCCCCACACTGGGGCCAGCACCACATGCATACAATGTGCAGGGAGTGGTGGGCACTAAGCAGAGATGCAGCAGGAGTACATCTGCAACGTGCTGAAGAGGGGCTTCAGTGAGAGGAGTGGAAGATCTATCACACCCCAGGAGTCACATCTCTGCTGGGCTTGCATTGACAAACTGAATCTTTTTCATGGCAGACTAGAATGAAGAGATGTCAAAATCAGTGAGTCTCAGGAGTCTGTGTCTCTGGCTGATGCCTCAGCAGAGAAGGCCACAGAAGCCCCTGACACTGACCATGAGGTTGAAGCTGAACGTTTTCTGACCATCTGCCCTCACTATCCTTTCCCTTACAGCCAGAGCTGTACCTACTAACTGGTATGTATTCAAAATGGAGACCAAGGACACAATCCTGCCAGAATTCTGACAACCACATGTAGTCTGGCAATTGATAAAGACAGAGGCAGGAATGAATTTCCCCTTAAGAGTTCTCCCTTTGATGTCCAGTATCTTCCCTCAACTGCTCTCTACACACCACAGCTATTTCTTTGTTCCTTTTTCTTTCCTCTAGTCATTAATAGCCAATATTGCCAGCCCAGACCACTGTCTGGGCATCAGGAGCAGCTATCTGAAACCAGGGATGGGACTGCAGCCCTGTTTGTGCACTCCTGATGAAACACTGCATAGCACTTAGGGTCTGCACACCATGGTTTTGCCACAACCATCCTAAACTTTTCTGGTGGCTCTCCTTTTATTTTCTGCCTCATGAAGTCAGTCCTCTGGCTAAGCAAGTCATTTTTGTAACAGTAAGATTTATCCATAATTTAGGATAAGAACTTTCTAACCTGTTATAAGTGGAAGGGAAATCCAAAAACATAAGAATGCAAGAACAAGGACTGTTTTGTTAGAGGCTTCAAACTGAACTGAAAATGGCTTTGATGAGAGGGGAATTTTTCTTGAGGTCAGACCATTGAATGCATATAACAACATGGAGAAATATGAGCTCTAAGTATGGGGTTTGATGAAGGAAATCCAAATGACAGGTTTTTGTGGAAATGCAGCCTCCAGCTGCACTGATACGTCTCGCTGCAGCTGTGTCAACAACACCCAGTGGCCAAGATGAGAATGCTGGGATCCTTCCTGCTGGTTGTAAGCCAAAATGTTCTGAGCTGCCCTACTTCTGCTGTCAATATCAGCTGCGTGCTTCAATTAAGATTAAAAAAAAAAAAAAAGATGAAAATGTTTTTCCCCGATGTCAAGAATTCTCAGTTACACCAAAAAAAGTTCAGTCACATTGCAGACTGGTGAAAAGCTGCAGCAAGTCACTGGACGCCAAATGGAGAAGCAAGGAGGGCACATTAATGCCTGGAGGTCTGGGATAAAGGGATGGGGAGAACCAGGGGATGATAACTCCTAAAATGTAAAACTGTACTGGTTTTGCATAGTGTTCCTTAATTTTATTAAGTTTCTTAATTTATTTAAAAGAGAAGGGACAACACTTAATGCACCACTCATCAGTATACTTTTTCTCTGTAGAACCTGGGAAGGCCTTTGCAGATGCATGCAGGCTGATGAAGGTGGTGCCTGTCTTACACTTGATTCAAAGTTTGGCCAAGCCTTTTGTATATCTGAACCACCATGGTCTAGGACTCAAAGGTGTCAAAGTCACTGTTAGTGTTATGGTGGTGAGTAGCCAGTAACAGTGGAGCCACTGTTCTCAAGAACAGTAGGAATTTTAGGCCTCTCTCAGGCCTGGAAGTCATCACTGAGTACACAGTGTGGGAGAAAAAGTCCTGTATCTTCCCCGTTGGAACTCTGAGTATCCCTAATGTTTCTAATCCTCTGCACAGGAAATGTTCCGTGTGGCAACTGATGGCCTTTCATGGAGTAACTCCAAGAGCAACTGATGCTCTTCCATGGGTCACAAGTCCTCAGTTCTCCTAACCCATACAGGGCCTCAGATAGGGGTAGAGGGACTGGTATCCCACTCTGGGTTCTGCATAGGTATGTGCTACACCCAACAATGGACAGGCCCAAGATGCCCGAATTGAAGCTGGGACCTGAACCTGGGTCTCCAGGCTGGCACAAAGCAACAGAAAGTCCTACTCTCCAAGAAAACAGCTCTTTTATGTGCAATTGCCACAGCCATGGCTCTGTCACATCCCCTGATCACAGTCTTGCTCAAGACCTGAAATGCTTCCTAAGGTTTGGAGGAAATGCCCAGCATCTGTTGAACTAAGAAAACTATCCTCTTTGTTAACTTTGCAGTAATGTTTTTGCATGTCTCTGTTTATCTTTTTGTCCTCCTAGTCCAACACAACCATCATCCATTTAGAGTTAGAAAAGTGCATTTTGTTAGGAGCCATATGCACAGCAGAGATGCTATGAGAGAATTCCTCCCTTCAAGAACTGGTACCCCATCTGACATAGTTTGTGAGTCAAAATTATTGCTCATCAAGTTCAATCATCTGAAAGAAAACAAATTCATTCCATTAAGATTTTAACTAAATAGTGGCTGTTCCCATGCAAAAACATTCACATTCTGAAAATCATGGTATTTTGTGCTGTGCTACTTTTAAAAAGTACAAGCTTCTGAAAAGCAGAAGTGTGTATGTAATGGCAGTCTGGTGAGTCTGGAAGTGCTATCTTCATTAGCAGATGTAACAATAATTTCCATAACTAAGTCTTTCCACTTTATGCTTAGCCAACGGAAAAAAAATTTTGGTCAGGAACTTTCATTCTCCAATATGACATGGGGAAACTTTTCTAAATAAATTAAGGGAATAATGCAAGACTTTCAGATATTAACTGGTAGGAATGTTCCTTTGATCTGAAACTGAGGTATCATGGCTAGGCTTCACGAACGAAGATTTGGGAAGGGCTCTACCCACATTTGTTACAAGCACGCTGGTGGCTAAAAAGGCCAATACAAGATAGACGCGTCCGGTTGCAAAAGGCACAGCAGAAAGACTCCTTAGGTGGTATATTCTGCAAGACACGATTCTTTCTGCATTGTCTTGTCTCCTCGAGAGTGATCCTGTGTGCTTTCTCAAAAGCATCAGCAGGGTTAAAGATAGTGTGTCTCCAGACCTCCCAATTGGAGGCCAGAGTAGACCAGTTCTGTTGATCAATATGGCCAAGGCTGAGATGTTGTTTCAGGGAGTCCTTGTATCTTCTCTCCAGGGCTCCTCTCTTGCAGCAGCCAGTGGCAAGTTCACCATAAAGCAAGATCTTAGGGAGGAAGTGATCTTTCATCCTTGAGACTTTCATCCTTGTGTCCTGCCCAATGCAGCTGTGTTCTCAGCAACATGGCCTCAATACTTGTGATTGGTGCTTGTTCTAGAACAGATGTTCTAGTCACATAATCTGACCAACATCTCTCCAACATCCCCCCTCACCATTAGGCTGAGGGTGGGCAAGATCTTGGAAGGGTACATAGCCAGGACAGCTGATCCAACCTGACCAAAGGGATATTCCATACCATATGGCATCTCCTCAGCACTAAAAGCTAAGAGAAAGGCGTGGGAGGGAGGAGTGGGGACAGTAAGTGGCAGCACATTTATTATTACATTTGTCTTCCAGAGCAACCACTATGTATATTGAAGCCTGACTTCACAGGAAGTGACTGGACATCACCTGCTGATGGGAAATAGACAATAAATCCTTTCCTTTGCTTCAGTGTATGGTCTTTTACTTTATTAAACTGCCTTTATCTTGACCTACAAGATAGGTTTTTTCTATGTTATTTTCTCCCTCCTGTCCTGCTTAGGAGGGGAGTGACAAAGTGTCTTGGTGAGCACCTGGTGTCCAACTAAAGTCAACCCATCGCAACTTCTTACAGCCAGATATGGACCGTGATGAACTGGGGATTCTACCTAAAAGCACAACTTTCTGCAGACCCCAACACAGCACCAAGGGATAGATCAGCGCATTGTTAACATACTTTTTTTACTCCAGGAAACAACTTTGGAGAGGAGACTGCACCATACTTTGCTTGGGCATTAATGGTGAGTTACCTGAAATCCAAGGTCATTTGCAGCCCTGGCTGTGTAACAGACCCTTCTCATCTTGAAGCTGCTACTCACTTGGCATGATTTCACTTGGCAATGCCCACATGATTTCCTGGCATAATTCCGCTAAGTGCCTCTCGCTTGGAGACGGAGACATGCCTCCAGGGTCTGCCCCCTCACAGCTACTGTGGAAAAATTGACTCTGTCCTGGCCAAAAACCAGGACACAGGAGTACAGGCACTGGGGGACTTGATGGAACATGTATTTCCTTCCCTAGCAAAAATGCCCCATGACCTGGTTCGTACTACAAAAGCCAGGGCACCCAGATTCAGAGCTTCCTGGATGGCCCACAGACTCACCCTCATCACCACAGGTGACTCTAGCAACAATAACTAATGTATGAGAACACACATGCAGGATGAGAAAACACAGTAACAGAGCAGTCTGTCAGAGAGAAAGGAGATGAAAAACAAGTCCCTCAGGGTGTATAAAGCATAAAATTGCACTCTACTAAAATCTCATAGAATCAGAACTGTTGTTCATTGTAAGCTTCTGATTACAAAGTTCAGGAGCTATTTCAGTTTTTCTTAAGTAGCCCAAACCCTAATGGTTTTAGTCATTGCACAGTAAACAGCGAGAGAAACAGATTAGGAAGGAATAAAATTAAAATGCCTAATCTGTCTGTTCAGACAAAGTGAGATACAGAGTGTGCTAGTAGCCCTTGAAAGGGAAAGCAAACAAAGCAGTATTTCAGTAATCTCAGGTGCTATTACTACACTGTAAAAGACTTGCATGAATATCTGAGGGCTCTTCTTTCCCCAGTATGTTCAACACACCTGCTACCATAAAGGCCACAAGCATGTGCTGTGAGCATCCAGTGTTCCTTGAGCATTGCAGTAACACAATGCCTTTAGTTTAATTAATGCTTTCCTTCTCCTGGTTCAGTATTTCTATTGATGTGTATCTCTTTCTAATAAAAGTCCATGTCTTTGAAATATGGATCAATTAAAACTAAAGTGGGGACAAGGCACTGTGCCCCTGCTTGAACAAGCTTGCAGGCAACACAGAGATCAGTACTGAAACTTGTGACCTTCCTAGTCTAGAAAAATGCCTCTCCAAAATTCAAGGTTTTACAGTTCTTCTCTCCTTCCAGCCCACTTGAAGCAGGAGCAGCAGATATTACTGCAGAATCAGTTTCTTTTCTGTTTTGTTTCTTGGAGGAATATTTTTAAGTCAGCTAAATTCACCATCTGTCCCCATCCAACCTCCCATACATGGAAAATTTGGATGAGAAATTCTCTCTGAGAATGAGAAGCAAGTGTTGGCAGCAAGTCCTCTCCCTCCCAGTGTCACAGTAGACACAAATGAATTCACACATACCCTGCTCTAAGTAGAACTTACACTGTGAGGTGTGCAATGCATGTGAATTGGCATTGGCACTGGCACATATCCAGGTGGGCACAGTTACTATATGAAACTGAATTCTTCTCCTCTGCTAATCAAACATAAGCAGAGTGAGTCTTGATATTTTAGATGTGGCAAGGAGAATCCAGCCATTTTTCACAGTGAGAAAAACAGGCAGTGTCTATTAATATAAGAAATCCTCCCTCTCTCTGTTTTCCTCCTTCACAATGTAAATCATTTGCTAAGAATTTATTCAAGCACAGGATAAACTGTCATTTCCACAACAGGGCAATGCCACAGCACTACCTAAAGTAGAAGAGTATTATCAAGTCCTGGAAAAAGAATGGCAAAAACTGCCTTCTAGGAATCAAGGAATCAATAATCCTGGAAAGGGCAAAACTAAACAACTAGCCAAGATGGCTTCAGAGGTTAGGGTTGAGAGCTAACATGTCTTCTCAATCCAAGATCAGACTCTGGGAATTCAGCTCAGTAAAGTCAGCTTGCGTATGAGCTGCATCCTCAGCTAGATCTAATATCACCATCCTGAGAGTCTGCAAATGGCTTGAGAGTAATCTTTAAATCTGTTAATGTAAGCCTGTCTCTGGACACCCCTGTCCTTGTGAATCACTGCAACTCCATCAGTCATTTGCACTGATGTTTTAGATTATATAAATAAACATGCCTGTCTGCCTGGCTCTTAACCTTGCTTGAGGTAAGGTCACTAGTTCACACCAAGGCATTCCTCTCTCTCCATAGTCATACAGATTGTCTTAGGAGCTGATAGCACAAAGGACTTAAAGGAGGACATGTCTTCTGCTGGCCAACAGTAACAAAGAAAGTTTTCTTTATAATAGTGGGAACGGGGACTGCACATGAAGTCCAAGGTGGGGGAGAGATGATGTTCACACGCTAAGAGATGCACTTGGCAATGCCAACCCTGTAATGCCAGATAGCCAGACCTCGTAGGCCAGAGGTTGACAAGCAGCCTGAGCTCTGATCCTCTGCACTGCCAATAGGAACCAACAGTATGGGAAATCTCCCGAGGCATACACCTCCATCCAGAGGGATCCTCTTAGAAAGCACACATTCAAACGTAGCCCATTGCCTCAGCCTCTCCCCATCACATGACTGAACATGATCCACATCACATCCTCCGGCACGACAGATGTAAGGGACCTGATATGTGGAATTTCACACAAAGAGATAGAGAAACTGAGAAGGTAACCCCACTTGGAAACTGCATTGCAGACTTTTGTGGAACAGAGACAAGAGGTGGTGAGACAACAGATACACCCCTTGAAAGGGACCACAGTTTTTCTACAGCCCTGCTGAAGAATGGGAAGAAAAGGTGCTTACAGATTCACCACATTTCACTCCCATTCATTTTGTAATAGCAGAACAAGAACAAGAAGTGAATTCCCACTGGAGGATGAATTCTCTCCATCCCCAGAGCTGTCTTCCTCCAGAGTAGCCTAAGATGCTAGATACTGTGAAGTGCTTTGATACTCTGTCAGTCTGTGTGAGGAATAGAAGAAGATGGATGCTTCAAGGCATTGAAAGCAAAGCAGTTCTATTAAAAAAAAAAAAAAAAAAGAAAAGAAAAAAAAAGCAAGCACCAACAAAAAAACCCTAAAACAAATCAAATATTAAAAGGCTGGTGAGGAAGGAAAAAGAGATCAAAGAGGACAAATCTTAGTATGCTACTCTGTAGCAACACTGGAGCATAACACATGCTGTTGTAACCTCATGTGCTGCTTCTAAGAAATGCTCCTGAGTGAGGGCAGGGATTGCATTGCAGACCAACACAGGGGAAAGACCCGAGCACATATCAGTCCAGTCCTGGCACTTCCATCTATGCACTGATTCCTCATGGGAGCAGTTACAGAAGGTGTCAGGGGCCTCAGGGCCCTCCACCCACCTTTGGGAGCAGCATGATTAAAGGAAAGAGCATTTTCACAAAAATTACATTTGGGACATAAATAATATGTTCATGCTTGAAACAAGGTAAAAGTAAAGTTCACAGGCAGTTTTGGACACTCATGTAATGGGTTGTATCTAAGTTACATCTGCATGTGTTCTTTGTCCTGTGGTTAGTATATTAAAGAAAGAAACTAAAAATAAGCAGAATAACTAATATTCACCTATAGTCTTTCCTGAGAGTATTGAGTGCTTTCAAAAGAGATCATCTGAAGAACAGGCGTTCCTCTAGGGTAAAAATTTTTTCCTGCATAAATTAAGATCAAAGAGAATTATTTTCCAAGTCTGCAAGGAGTCAGGCCTCACTCTGCAAAGGAAAACTAAAACAGGCTGTATGGGGGTAGAGGACTGCATTACAGTAGATGTGGTTCCTCTAGTTTTATTACGAATAACCTAAACAATTAAAAAATTGGAAACAGTAATAAATTTTAGCTAAAATCTGATAAATTAAAAGGAATTATTAAAATGCATTTCTTCAAGAGGAAGCACTCAAGAAATCTCACTACGAATTTCTGCTTTTTAAGGTTAAAGAGTTGTTCTCTTCACCTCACCATTGAAAAAGTCTAAATTACCTGGCATTTCACAAGATAAATGGTCAATGGCATAAATTTACAATGACATTTCAGTATCCCAATCAAATGGTTGCAGGCAAACATCTAATCTGTCTGCCAGACTTCATTCCACATGTGATGTAGGGAGTCTTGCATTTCAATTCAGAATAATTGTAAATATACAGGGCCAACAACCTTCCATTGTCTTAAACCTTTGAGAAATTAGTAAAGGTTTTAATCTTTTACAGGAAACTTAAGGGAAAATATAAACAAAAGCCTCTTCTGCCCCTTTTCTCAGGGATAAATGCTTATCTTGACTTTTAAAGAATGAATAATTATTGTGTCTATAAGAGGTACATGGAATAAGGATCATATCTAGAAACCTTTCCATGGGTTTGACAGCACCAGCAATGCCAAAGTAATAGAAAGGCACATCTTAACAAGTTTATTCCTTCTAACAACATTTCTAAGCATGACTGTTCCCCACATTCTTTTCATAATCTCCTCTTTATAGGGTTCCAACTTGCAGATACTGACAACCAAACATTTTCTAAAAGTTGTGAATCGAAGTAGCCAGCAAATGCTCATCTTCTGCATCGCAGTACAAAAGAAATTACTGTTGCTTTTCAGCTGTCTGGGTGTTGTTTTTCTGAACTGGACTGACTGTGTCAAACATGCAGGAACACCCAGGCTGGCTCCCTCCAGGTGTCACCCAATCCCAGCATGGTTTGTTAGGCCAGACACGTGCTTTGGCTACGCTGTTTCTGAGGTGGCACTGGCAGTCCACCAGCTTTGCCATGGGCTCAAGCCAAGCTGGCAACCCTGGAGAGAGCAGAGCCAGCTTGGGCTTTCCTGTGTTTCATTCCCAGGACTAGGTCACTCTCCTAGTGTGCATGGTGCAAGGATGTCTGAATGGCTTCTTCAGAGAGCCACTCTGCATCCATAAAACCCTTGGTGCTGAATGAAAGGTAGTAAACCCAGCTGAACCCAGACTGGTTCAAGACTGTTATTGAGTAATAACAGTCAAGAGCTGTTACTCTACACAGTAAATGGATCTTAAGAAAAATGGATTTTAAGTTTCTAAAAAGAAGATGTAAGAATGCATTGGGAAACTTTGTAAATTAACTTTCGGGGAAAAAATACAGTGCTTGATGCATGTGGAAACCTTCCACAATGACAGAAACAGAAGCTTTCATGAATTTCCCAAACTGACTTGAAATTTCCAACAAATAAGTATATAACTAACATAATACATGAAACAATTCCCCTGTCATCATGGGCATGAACAAAATCATAGTCATGTCTTTAAAAGATCAATCAAGGCAAATGCACATTTGTCATAACTTAAATTTAGAAGAATAATTTACAGTGACATCAATACTATTTGCATTGATAGCTTACTTTCTAATATTCCAAACCTCTAAACTGGGACACTGTGCTGCTCCCCATTCAGTAAATGTTAAAACAGAAAACTTACAATGTGAGCTCTGAAATGCTGAGCTGTCACTACCCTGTTTGAAATTCTTAGGAAAAAACAAATATCAGGTCTTCTACTGCTCACTGGAGCTTCCTCTTACAGTTACACACTGAAAGAGAGCTTTGAGAAAAGTTCTTTTCATCTGGAGACACCTGGATCCTCCCCAGATAGGATCATCTTTCTTGTCTGGGCTATAAAGCTATATTGCTGGAGATACTAATCCTTTAAGGTCTTGAGTGATTTGTTTTTCATTTTTGCAGAGCTCTATGGCACATTTAGGCCATTAACTGTTCAACTTGCAGTCTGCATCTTAACAGAATGGAGAGAACTGTCTCAGAGATGAACATGAATTACTTGAATCACCAAAAATAAGAGATCTTCAGTGATGACCTTGCATTAAGCTAATTTCTGCATAAATTAGTAGATCTTTCTCTCTCAGACATGGAAAAAGAGAAAGATGAACACTTATTTAGGGTCAAACCTCCACGGTATTCCTGCAAGTGAAGAGCAGAGATAGCAGAAGGCAGCATCTGTAGGAGAGAATGATTAATGTATTTGTGAATACAAGAAAATCTTTGTTGTCCTCTGGGTGTCCATGCTGAGTGCACTTTCCTTGACCCTGTGTGCCAGAATGAGTTGGTGAATGAAACTTTCAACAAGTTGAAGGATTTGGTGTGTCAAATGCGTCCTGAACTAGATGTCATCTACAGTGAGGTTGAAGGCTGTATCATCAAGATCCCCAACAGTATCCAAATCCCATGGAAATTATGCACGTGAGCTATTGAATTTGGGTCCTTACTGCCTGTACACAGTACACATGCCCCAGATACTTGGAGGGATGGAGGATGAAAGGCAAGCTTTCTTTCAAGTCAGAAATTCAGCCAAGTTCCTTCAGAAAAGTAAATTTACAAAGACAGTCACGATGTTCACATATCTCAGTTCACGCAGACTGACTAAGCAAATCCTCTGCTTTTCAGGAGAAGCTATTGCCTTGGGATCTGAGAGCACTGGGAGGGTGAAAAAAGGAATGGGAATAGATGTTTGCTTCCTGTGTAAAACACATTAATTGATTAATTAATGTTTATTCCTCATCACAAGCCCACCACAACAGCTGACTTTCATAGAACACTTCACTGACAGTTGTGCTTTAGCATCAAAATTAATGTCCTGCAGAAAAATAGGATATGATATTACAAGCAAATACTGCCCTAAATAGACATTACGTAGCTTTTCAAGGTCTGCAGTATCCATGGATAGCAGCAGATGGTGCTGTCCTCCTTGCGGAAGCCAACGCAAGCACTTGAGCATTGCTGAGCTAAATAACACCTTTGTACTACCAGCTTTACTGTGTTTCTTAACTGCTGTGCAGATTTTCAACTAATTGGATGAGGTCTTGCTGTAGATAAGGGTTGGGATGAACTTAAGCAAAAGCTTGGGCTGTTAGTTCACATCAAACAGTGCTGCTGTGCTTCACAGCTAGTGACACTCGCACTATCATACTTTGCAGTTTTTAATAGCCATTATGGTATTCAGCATGTCCCCATTCAAACAGAGGTGGAATGCAGAGAAGAGTAACTAAAGTGATTAGAGACCTGGGGGAGAGAACCGTCTCGATTAGACAGCCTAACCAAGCAGTGACTACTGGGATGAAGACCAAATAACCATATGTAATTATCAGGAAAAAAACAGGTTTACTACTGAGTCTCATTTCAAGGTAGCAGGAGAAGAAGGTATAACTGAGAAGAATGGGATTAACCTGAACAAAAGGACTTTGTTCTGGCAATGTGGTGACTGTGTAAGGAATAAAGAACTCATATCTCTCAGTGGTGGGGTGAGTAAAGGCAGGGTGACGGAAGAATAAGGGGAGAGCAGGTATCAGTGGCTGTTTCATGGTTATGCTCATGTTTTATCTCTGCTTCTATTAGAACTATTTGAAAGAGCACAACCTACAACTCTGAGACTTTTTTAGGATTATTGATGAGAATGGAAACATGAAGATTCCTGTGGCAGCCTTCTGGAAAGCCATGATACAGGTGTGCCTCTGAAAGCATGGCCAGAATCCTCTTCTGTCAGGGTACTGCTCTAGAACCCTTCTGATGCAGCACAGCTGCCAGCCAGCCTTTCTGGTGACGTTGTTCAGGCTAAAAGGCAAAATTCACTCATCACAAAGTTAAGCCTTGAAGGAGACCAACGGAAGTGTTGTGACACCCAATAAGTATTGCAGATGGCATCAGTGACAATGGACAGACATCCACTGTTTGTATGGGGTATACAGGATATTGATAGATACTTATGTCTTACTGCTATGTGAAAGTGGGGGGGAAAAGCACCTAAACCCTCACCTGTACAATGGAAAGGACAGTTCTCTTCCTGACAAAAACAGCATGGTGCTTGGGATCAGTAGCAACAGTCAGCCAGCCATGATATTCTTTTACAAAAAAACACAAAAATTAAAAAGAGTGAAACTGCCTCCTCACCACCACTCTGGATTTTTTGCATCCTTTCCACCATGCATAGGGCCATCTGCTCACCCACTAAAAGATAGCCAGGCCCCAGACTGATATGGAGGATTTTTCTGCTTAAAATTACCCAGGTTTCCTAGCACTTCTCTTCTTCTCTTAGCAACAAATCATCCCACTGGATTGAGTCCAAATTGGGGAACTAGTGCACAATCTAGACCGGAATCAGACAGCAGTTGTGGACTATAGGTATGTGAATGACTCCATTTACTGTCCTGGCTTGTCTTTCTTATTTTAATTTGGCTCAACACTAAATAAATATAACCTTTTTCACCTTGGGATGTGAAGGGACATATGGTTTTGGCCAGTCGATTACTTACCTAAGTAAAAGGTAGATGAAAAAACACCTTGTATGCTTAGAAGTTCTGTTGAATCAAACTAGAAGTTAGTCTTATTTTCCTATTTGATAAACTTGCTGTGAGAGTGCAGAGACCTCAGAGCTGAATGGCATTTTCATTCATTCTCGTTAGCCTGCGTGAGAAGCATCAGCTCAACACCGTCCTCCCCCTGAAGCCAGGGTAAGATTTGCAACAACAGCATATCTGTGCCTTCAGAACTTTTTCTCTATCCTCAGGGACTCTTGTTTTTTTTACTGCTCTCTGATCCCTCTTCTTAGGAGACCTAGTTTTCCCTGGAAACTTGCCTTCAAACTACAGAACTTTTCATTCTCTTGAAAGTGCCTCTTCTTAGTGCCTGTAGCAATCGTGTCCAAGTTCTGAGAGCCTGAGCATTCAGCAGCAAACTCCTCAGAGGCTGTCAGTCGCTGCAGGCTAAACTGCTTGTCATTGGACCCAAAATTCCCCCTAGATTTTCAGTCAATTCTGACATATGACTCATCAGCTGAAAGCCCTGTTAATCATGCCCAAATATTCCCATCATCAGCACATACTAATGGGTTTAAGTATATGCTGTAGTCTAGTTTTAAGGCTAGAAGCAATGGGTCAGTTTTGCTCTTAGCCTCCTAATGTTTTCAGAGACAAGCAAATTATTCTGTTGCATTTGGTCTTTATTCCTTTGCATATATCAGTGCCATACCAAAAGCACCCATGCTCAGGTGCTAGTTGTGCCATAGACTGGTTAATCTTCAATCAGAGATTACATGGAGTTCCCAAGTACTTCAGGCTCAACTTACACAACTGTGGTTAAGCAGTAAGCAGATGAAACTGTTGAAATCCAGTGGCTGGCAAAGACTTCATCTGGTGCCATTTAATGTGGCTGAGTTGATATATGGAGAAAAGCAGATATAGCTTATCTAGCTTCTTGATGCATTTTAGCACTGTAGTATGTGTGAAGTGGTAATATTCACCTTGCAGAAAAGAGTCAGAAGATTTGTGACCTTTGCTGTCCTTACTGTTCCCACCTCAGGCTGTTTCTTCAAGATCCTCTCAGCAGCTTTAAGATACCTGACAGAGAAGGTTCACTTTACTAGATTAATACTGGTTTATCTCCTTCTTTTCCATCAGTCACATAGAAAAGCAGAAGCCAGCACAGAAACTTGTTGAAGGGGAAATCAAGGAGGAAAAGAAGGAAAAGCCATAAAAATGAAGCAAGGAGGGAGGTCAGACAATGCAAGATTGTGTGAGAACCACTGAAAGAAAGCTCAGAGTAGCTCTGGCCCTGGGGAGGCCCAACACTGGAGAGTCTAGGTTATTGCATGTAGAAATAAAGTTAATGTTCCACTACACTTCAGGTCCCTGTAGAGTCTGGTCCTTTTCTGTTAAAGAAAGACTGGTTCTTTGGACCTGGTTACCAAATCTGTCTTGCTCTGTATGCTGACAGTGGTGAAATTACTTGCAAAGATGAAGGCAAAAAATGGGAAATGGGAAACTACAACACACACATATTATCTCCTTTTGAGGTAATGCACACAGACGAAGACTGAAGCAAGGGCCCTGCAGTCATCTCCTACCAGCTTAGGATATCTGACACAGGGACCTTTGTAAGAGAAGAAAAAAAACAAACTTCATGAGAAACTATAGCTCATATTGCTTAAAAAGTTATGGGTGATTGAAATTTTATTTAATATCCCCATGGGAAAAAATATGCTAGAAAGATGGAAGACATAACAGATTTTTAAATGGCTTAGATAGTGATCGTTTTTTAAATCCACATTAAAAGATATATTTCAATAGCTCTTAAGAAGGAATTAAAGCCTTGCATATATTAATATTTATTTAAAAATATAATTTTTAAAATGTAAATATGTACAGGAAGTACATTTTGCCACATGAGCAACAGCCAACATAGAGTATAAACCAAGGACCTTGGAAAACTGGGGAATATTGGCCACTTTGGGAAGATCAGCCTTCTGTGAAAAAGAAAAGAAGCTAGTTGCAACCTGGTAAGTCTCTGTTTCCCAGTGGAATTCCTATGTGGAAAAAAAACTTTGAAATATCTTGAAAATCTTTGGTAAGAGTTCACATGGCTCCAGTGCCTAATCAGAGGTCAAGATGACTGTTGACATGATGGTATTGGTATGTCTGCTCAGTAGTCACCTTCAGAAGGCTTCAGCTCATTACCCCAGGAAGTCTGTGTTCTCTGATGCCTGTGACTTCCAGAATTTACTTGTGATTGCAGTCAGTGCCCCCACATATGGAATATGGGGGGTGTTGAGATGAAGAATCAGAGAAGCATTAGAGATGCTGGGCAGTTTGCACATGCAGGGATAGCACTGTGGGGTTTTCTGTTCTTTTCCTAATCATGCCTGAAATGTAATTAATGTTTCTTGACTATTCCTAAGCACTCATGTATATTTTCATAGAAGCTGTTGTGCTTTCATCCCAGCCAGCAGCCAAGCCCCACATAGCCACTCATTCACTCACCCACCAGCGGGACTGGGGAGAGAATTGGAAGGGTAAAAGCTGGAAAACTCATGGGAAAGCAAAAGTCACACACACAAACAAACTAAAACAAAGAATTAATTCAGTGCTTCCCATGGGCAGGGAGGTGTTCAGCCATCTCCATCACACGTAACGGTTACTTGGGAAAACAAACAGCATCCCTCCAAACTTCTCCACTCCTTCTTCCCCCCCAAAACTGATATGCTGAACATTATGTCATATGGTATGGAATATCCCTTTAGTCAGTTTGGGTCACCTGTCTCAGCTGTGTCCTCTCCCTCGCCAGTGTGGCAGTACAAGAAGAAGAAAAGGCCTTGACTATAAGCAAGTCCTGCTCAGCAATAACAAAAACATATCAATATTATCAACCCTGTGTTCAGCACAAATCCAAAACACAGCCCCGTACTAGCCACTGTAAAGAAAATTAACTCTACCCCAGCCCAAGCCAGCATAGAAGCGTACACCAAACCCGCAGGACCTTACTGCTGATCAGTGGGGCTCGGAGAGGGCAGGAGAGCGACCTGTGCCCATTACTGTACAATTCGAGCTCACTCCCTGCTAAGAACACCCACTGACCCCGCGCTCAGCGGGAGCAGTCCCGGGCTCGGCCGTGCCCGCGTCGCCGCCAGGTGTCAGCGCAGCCCCGGCGGTGCGGCGCCGGCCCCGCTTCGCCCCGGGCCCGCACACCGCGGCACGGCGGCCTCGGGAGCCGCTGGGCGTGGAGTCAGCCAATGGCCTGGGTTGGAAGCGACCTTAAACATCATCATCTAGTTTCTGTCCAGTGCCTCATCACCCTCAGAGTAAAGAATTTTTTACTAATATCTAATCTAAACTTATTCTCTCGTGGTTTGAAACCATTCCCCCCTTGTCCATGTCACTTATAAAAAGTCCCTCTCCAGCTTTCCTGTAGGCTCACTTCAGGGTACTGGAAGGCCACAATTAAGTCATCCCGAAGCCTTCTCTTCTCCAGACTGAACAAACACAATTCTCTAAGCCTTTCCTCATAGGAGAGGTGCTCCATCCCTCTAATCAACTTGATGGCTTCCTCTGGACTTGCGCCAACAGGTCCATGTCCTTCCTGTGCTGTGGACCCCAGAGCTGGATGCAGTTCTCCAGGTGAGGTCTCACAAGAGCTGCTCGTTCCATAACTACTCCATTGCTGCTTTCCTGTGAAGAACCGCCAGCGGGGGCATAATTTAACTGTTGTACAACGTTCCTCCAGCATCCTGCTCCTGAGACTGGTGGATCCGTAAGCAGTGGCTGCAACACGTTTTATGCTGGACTCACTGGTGGTTGAGGGACTGGAGATACCTGAAAACTGGTACATACAACTGTGTGTACCAACTCTGACATGGCTTGTTGGTCCACATGTGCCATATGTACAGAGAGGTGTCACTGCTGCAGGACAGTACTAAGACTCTTGGACCCACTGAACTTACTATACCTGATCCACAGACCTGAGTGTAGATACTCAGCATTTCTGGAGGGGACTGTTGTTCAAAACACATAATCTTCTAGGATGTTCTTCAGTGGCTCCAAGTCTGTTGACACAACATCCACCATTCCCTGGCTGTGCCAATGTAAAATACCTATGCCTCTCTCTCCCCCTCAGCCCCAAGAAATCCTTTTTGAGTCCCTTTTTTTTTTAGCTTAGGAGGCATAAAATGAAATAACAACATATGCAGGCTCAGAATTAAGGCCAGGGAGTTGGGAACACCTAATGATTTTATATTTTGCACCAAAAAAAAGGGGTTTTTTCATGATCTGCAACTATTGTTACGTAACAGAGAACAAGAATTACAGTATTCCAGATTTTCATTTAAAGTGAGGCCCTTGGCTTATCAGCAGGCACATACTCTATGGTCAGTTAAGCTCGATCAGAGGTGAGAAGTTTCCAGACTGGAACAAGAAGGAACAGAGAACAATGGGATCTTGGGGTACCTGATGGCAGAGAGTGAAGGTCCTGCTTCACTGTCCCTATGGCACTTTTGTTCTGCAGAAAAGGGTGCACTTTGGAGTAGAGGAGTAGCACATGTATATACTGTTCCATATCTTTGTCTTTTCTTCCCACAGTGTCTTGGGTTTGTGCTGCATATGTTACACATGCATCTTTATCTCCTGCAGAGTGCTGTTGTGTATTAGTCATGCATTATTGTTCAACTTTGGTTTGCACAGAATCAGATGCCCAACTAAACTAATTTGTCCAATTATCGCCCTTAAGTTTCTAGATTAGCTACAGCCATCAAAAATCTTCTGCAAGAAAACAACATAATCAAATAGAGATGGGAACTGGCCTGCAGCAGGTGTGGCTTTTATTTATTTGAGTGTCCACTTCAACTCCAGACTCTACAAAGATGTGGCAGCTAGGTGGTACCTTTACATCAGGAAAAACTTGCAGGGAGATTCGATGGTTTCTTTCAGCTAAAGAGTTGGGGCCCAAATTTCTATTCCAGAAAGACTTGATAAATATAAAATATTTATTTTCTGAAAACAAAATCAAAAGGTAATGGATCTCTGGGAAGGTACTAGATGCAACCTTCTGGCTTACTATGTGACCTGATGCAACTAAAATACTAGTAAAAAATTGAGAGTGTTAGTGAAAATTTTAGTCATATGCAAGCAGTGTGGTGGAGGGGTGTAGTTGCAGTTTGTATTGTGCAGAATCTCTCTGAGTATTCTCAGATCAATAAAGCTTTTTCAAGCTTGGGGGCAGCATTTGTCCCCTTGCTGAGAATTCAGGGATAAACTGTGGTAGACACTGAGCAGGGGCGGTCAGGAAGTGGAACATGAATTTCTCTGCTGATCCTGCACCTGTGAAATGGCGCAGAAGGAAATGGTTTGGGTAGCATAAATTAAGGCAGCTCTGAGACTCATCTAACATACCTCAGGAATTCAGCCTGCCAGCACAAAATTAGACAGTGCAGAAAGCTGGCTAAACACTATCTCTGTATCTTTCTTAGCTCATGAGAGTGACACAGCCAAGTGACATTGTCAGAACTCTTCAATATTAGAAAGAAAACACTGTCTAAGTAATGTGTTTCGAAAACACGGCATACACACCAGAGTATTTAATGTGTTAGCTAGTTTAGATGAACCTTTGGATCTCTTGCAAGGGAAATCATCTTTTTGTAATGGATCCCTTCCAGCAGAATGAGACAGTTCAGACTAATTTCCTAGGCACCACCACAACATTTAGGACAACATATCATTGCATTATAAAGACATCACTAATCAGACTGTGGAAATCTCAGAGCAAGTATAAAGACTAATGTTAGATGCCAAACTATCTCAGCTTGTTCACATTGAAGATCTTTGATCTGTCTAGCTGAACTGACCTACAGGTTTTTGGCTTTATTTTCAAAGGAGAAATCTCACGGGTTGCTGAAGTGGGTACAGTGATACTAGTCTTCCTCTTTTAGATCAATAGTTCTTTTTTCCAGTGGCCTCTCATCCATATAATGATATATCACAACATGTCCACTGTATATCAGTGGACATGCACCTTATGCAAAGGGGCATCTGCAGCCATGAATGAAATAATGCATCATGAGATTGGGAGCATGCCATATACAAGGTACTGGTGAGTGCAACGGGGATGCTTAAGTCTCTCACCTAAATCTGTCACGGTAATGTTAGAGAATCTGAAGAGATGATAGAGTGAAAATTTGCAAGGACAAAATTTAATTTTTTCATCATGAA